TAAAAATTTGACCCGGGCATATGAAGGCAAATTGGAAATTTGTGTTACAAAATATGGACAAAAATTAACCATACGATCAGAAGACTGAGCACTGAAGGAAGTAAGTATGTCGGGAACGGAAAACTAAAGCAGGAGATAAAGTAAGGCAGAAAGAAAGTAAGATAAAATTTTCAAAGGCTTTCTCAGAAAAATACCCATAAGACATTCAGAATCTGATAACTTCATCTTCATACTATCATAGTCTGTATAAAGTTCTGAAAAGCCAGCACTAAAATTCAATTTGACTGAGGTTTCTGTTTTTAATTGGTGAATGGTAAAGGATTCTTAAACATCTACCATGTCAATTTCCCTGTTTGTTCTATTTTGTTGCGCGATATCCATAATATTTTCACCATACTCGGAATGCAGTAGACTTTGGCGTGGCTTATTTAGCGGTGCAGACGTCACCCTTGTGTTCACTCCGGTCTGCCCAGAAAGAATCAATGCTACTGAGGAAAAACGTTACGTTCATTATGAAAATGTCAGAGCAGAAAATCCATATACCCCGCTGCGCTATATCGTTCTGTGTAATACTTTATCTGCAAACAAGATTATGTCAGGAATCGATTCCTTGGCAACATTTGCCCCTCCTATTTCAGGAAAAATATCATATTCATAATCATATTCATAATCATATTCATAATCATATCCATAATCATATTCATAATCATATCCATAATCATATTCATAATCGTATTCATAATCATATCCATAATCATATTCATAATCATATTCATAATCATATTCATAATCATATTCATAATCATATCCATAATCATATCCATAATCATATTCATAATCATATTCATAATCATATTAAGTATTTTTAATAAGTTATGAACCGGCTGAAAGGAATTTTTGCAGTACACGCAGATAAAAAACCATTCGATTTCAATCAGCCTAAATGAGCCTAAATGATTTATTTTTACATGAACAGCAAAAACTCTTCGCGGCACTCGGGTATCGTCACTATGTTCTGCATAACGTAGATAAATAACCTGTGACGCGGGCAGTTGAGAAATTATAATAAATGTGGAATACCTCAATGGTCTAAGAGCCTCTCTTGTGTTACGAAAATATTCCTCGCGAAAGTAATAATCGTGGATGTCAAACTTAACAAAAACTGTGACCGTGCAGATCTCATAGAATCTAAAATCGGAGAACATCATATCTTCTTCAATATCCCGGTGCACAAATCTTCGTCGGCCATTGACCGTATAGACCAGGGTGGTTGGATCGTTGACGTGGATGAGGTACTCCGTCAGATCGCCGTATTCCATGCGATCGCTCAGCCGCATGAATAGCAGGATAAGTGCAATGACAAATACAAGAAACATGCTGTAACTTTAAGATACTTTCGCGTACTGTGCCTAGCCGCTTTCAAAGTTATTTATGTATGTGCTGGAAAACTGACTACAGGAAAGTGAACTTTAAATAAAAATGGTTGTTTACATGCTTCGGACACGAAGGTTTACCTTTTAGTTCACCTTTTACAAGAGTGGTATTTACGTCATGCCACAATGAACAATGTTCCAGAAGGATAATTATACATCTATGTGTAAGAAGTTTGTCTGAACAAACTCCAATTGGGTAATAAGGTTTCAAATATTTCTACAACTATTAAAGAAAAATTAGTCGTAATAATGTTTTTCTGTTCAGAATAGAATTTTTAAGGAATATTTGAAAGGCTGTATTATGTATATATGTATATGTAATTAGATTGTTATTTGTCTTTTATGAAAAGAGTGTCTAATTATAAAATTTCTACATACCAATGGAGAATCCACCTATCCAATACAAACCCCTAATGAACAAAATTTTATAAATACATTGGGTTATCAAAATACGATTGTGTTTTCGGACACATAATTGTCTTATCAGAACCAAGAATTGTGCAGTGGTGTGTGTGTGTGTGTGTTACCAGTTGAACTTGGCGCTTGATTACACACGTGTCTCACATGGTCCAAGCTAATGTCACCTAGCGGCAGTTTGGGCACTATGTTGCATTTTTCGTTTCTAGAGGGCGTTTTTCGCTAAAGCTCGCTAAAACGTTGACGAACACGATAACAACGAAACACACCCTTTAGATCTCCCGAGACTTGATCAAATGAACGGGCACACCCCCAGAGTTGACATTTGACCTGTGACCTGGGCACACCCACTAGATTTGAACTGTGACCTGGGCACACCCACTAGATTTGACCTGTGACCTGGGCACACCCACTGGACTTGACCTGTTACCTTGGTACACCCCCCTGGACTTGACATTTGACCTGCGACCTGCATACAATCCCTAAACTTGGCACTTAACGTAGTTGACACTTGACCTGTGACCTGGGCACACCCACTATACTTGACCTGTGACCTCTGTGCCCCACGGTATCGTGGACACTTTACCTGTGCCTTACTAATTTTAATTACCTACCAGCGCCACCTATCGGATATTGGCTGTTTTTCAGCGCTAGAGGGCGGGGTTTTGCTTTAAGTGCCTAAACGTTCTTAAAACGTTAGAACAATGCCATATTTTAGAGTTGTGACCGAAGGTTTAACCTTTAGAGTCGTGACTGAACGTTTTTCGTGGTCACAACCTTTAGAGCCGTGACTGAACGTTTTTCGTGGTCACCCCCTTTAGAGTTGTGACCTAACTTTTTCGTGGTCATCCCCTTTAGAGTCGCGACTTAACGGTTTTCGTGGTCACCCCCTTTAGAGTCGTGACCTAACGTTTTCCGTGGTCACCCCCTTTAAAGTCGTGACTGGATGTTTTTCGTGGTCACGACCTATAGAGTCGTTACTGAACGTTTTACGTGGCCACACCCCTTAGAGTCGTGACTAAACGTTTTACGTAGTCACACCCTTTAGAGTCGTGACTGAACGTTTTTCGTGGTCACAACCTTTAGAGTCGTGACTGAACGTTTTTCGTGGTCACAACCTTTAGACTTGTGACCTAACGTTTTTCGTGGTAACTCCCTTTAGAGTTGTGACCTAACTTTTTCGTGGTCATCCCCTTTAGAGTCGTGACTGAACGTTTTTCGTGGTCACAACCTTTAGAGTCGTGACTGAACGTTTTTCGTGGTCACAACCTTTAGACTTGTGACCTAACGTTTTTCGTGGTAACTCCCTTTAGAGTTGTGACCTAACTTTTTCGTGGTCACCCCCTTTAGAGTCGTTACTGAACGTTTTACGTGGCCACACCCCTTAGAGTCGTGACTAAACGTTTTACGTAGTCACACCCTTTAGAGTCGTGACTGAACGTTTTACGTGGTCACACCCTTTAGAGTCGTGACCTAACGTTTTCCGTGGTCACCCCCTTTAGAGTCGTTACTGAACGTTTTACGTAGCCACACCCCTTAGAGTCGTGACTAAACGTTTTACGTGGTCACACAATTTAGAGTCGTGACTGAACGTTTTACGCGGTCACACCCTTTAGAGTTGTGACTGGACGTTTTTCGTGGTCACACCCTTTAGAATCGTGGCGTCACGAACTGTATTATTACACATCGTCCTATACAACGTGACAGTCCAGTCAACGCTCCTTTGTTCTGTGTGAATGTAAATGTATAACAATTATTCAGCGAACATTTGTATAGCTAAACTAAATAGAATCGTTATGCTTAGAGCCCGCATTGCGGGCTTGAGAGACTAGTTTTAGTATATTTCAACGCAGAAGGCTTTTTGGAGCGACTGGAGATGTACAACATTGTCGAAGCAGAAAATTATATTGCAGCGTTCGACAACAACTACACTGTAATAAATCTACATGAAGTTTTTAAAGCCATAAGAACCTTCGTGAACTCGATAAACTTATTTATCTTCTATCGCTGTCAATATTTTGAAATATAGATAAACACAATATTTACACGCAACGAGGTTTAATGCGGAGTAGGGTTGCAAGTTGCGGATTAGATGCCCATGACCCGGCAACCCGCTGAATTTGACGGGTATATACATACTCTACCGCTACCCAGTGGGTAGTCCATGTCAGCCGGCAGGTGAATATTTTGGTTCTTGTCTTTTTCCTAGTGGTTAGGTTAGAAACCAGAGAAGAAAACTTTATTTCTGAATTTCGTGGTGACGTTATTAAGGGCTGAAACCCCTTTATGGAAATGTCTTGTCTGTCCGTCCGTCCGTCGGTCTGTATGCACGATAACTTTCGAACGGATGCGAATTTCGACCTGAAATTTTTACTACGTGTTCCTGGGGTCAAGATACAAGTCAAGTTCGAAGATGGAGGTCATAGCTCACAAAAAGGTCACGACCTGTTTTTTCGGGTTATTCGACATGTGGGCAGGCCCCGATTTTGGGGCGGGCAACACGGGCAATTGCCCGCGGATAGTGACCTCAGAGGGGCGCCTGGCGGCGCCCCTCTATACACTAGATATAACCGACCTGAGGAGTTAAGAGCGCCGGGGTCTTTTGCCCGGGGCGCCGATGTCAGATTTATTTCTACATCGGGTCCTGCATGTGGGGCATCAGTTTATAGGGAAATTTCACCAGGAATTCAATGGCGCCAATATTTTTGACCTCTGGTTTTCGGGTTACCTTGCTGGCGAGGTCAAAGGTCAAACAAATGAATTTGACCATGTGGGGTGTCGTTGAAAAGTTGTGATCGAGGAGGTTTAAATTTTGCGGGTGGCGTTTTCAGATGGGGCGACATGAGACTTGGGGCAATTTGAGACAATGATAGAAAATAACGAGTAAGTGATGGGGGTGTACAAATGGGTTAGTTCTAAGGACATTACCACGTGGTTTCACCCCTTTGCTACATTTCGTTTGCAACGGTTTATTTTGGTATCTGTACCACTCAATTCACCCACATCCACAAATGCCCATATACGTAATGGGTACCATTGTTTAATTCAGCCAGATTTAATTCAGAGTAAAACGTTTCGTTCAACCCGTTAATAATAATATGTCTTTGCATTCTACATATATGACACAATTAATCCAACTTGCTAGGAATACACAGACACTTGAATTTCTTTAATTTATTCAGCTATCAAGTTAATTAAAACATCAGTTAGAAACGTACGGCAGTTTTAGTGAATGTTACTTTACTATCGAAAAAGAAAAGAAATTAACAAACAAAACCAACGGGCCTACTCATCCACCTACTCCCTTATAGTGTAAAGACAATATCAGAACTGCCAAAACTCGTCTGAATGGACAGCTTAATCTTCCTCAGTTTATCTATCAGGAGGAGGAGCAAATTTGCCAGGATGGATCCCACAAATCCACCCGAAATTAGCCCCAGAATACCTCCAATCACACCGCCAGCCAACATTCCCCAGGGACCGGCCGCTGCGCACAATGTCACACCCGCCCAAGCACCACCCACTGCCCCAGCAATACCGCCCACGACGATAAAAGCTTGGCGAATCCTCTTTGCGCACTCCCGTCCATTTCGAATATTCTCCCTGACAATGGTGAATGAACATGTGCATATAAAAGAAAGTGCGGTAAAAAAATAATGTCCTTTTCATTCGTGTCATGCATTTATTGATTTGTAGTTCATATTACGTAGTAGGGAAACTTACCGGGTCTCCTCATCGCCAGAAATATCGCCGCCCCCGCCGTTTCCATTATTCGCGCCATTTCCGATGCTTGCACCACTTCTTCCTCCGCCTGCACACCTAACAGCAGTTGACGGGACAAAATTGTAAATGTTTTCTGCTTCCGTCAGCAAACTGTCCGTATTTTCAAGAAACACCGCGATCCGCTCCCTGTGCTCTGGTGACAACTCCCTGCAAAAGTTATAAAAACACAGTAGAGCTACATATATTTTTTCTATGGAATTTTATTCATGATAAGGGTGACTACTGGGAAGCACAGCCAAAGACAATAATTATAGGCATCACTATAGTGGTACACATAATCATGCAAAGATTTGCATCGCGTAAGTACCCTATGAATTTCTAACAACCAACAAAAATAATAGAGTAACCCCCAGTCCTCCGATCGAGGTATCTCGTCTCGGCTCAAAATTTTCGAGACGTCTCAAATTATAGAAACGCAAATTTTTCTCCCGTCTTATTTTACCCCTAGGAATACTACTCAGACCTTGAGCAGAGATACCTTGTACCTTTTTTGATAATAAAGGCCTACGAAAAATGCCCAAATTATAAAACACCGACCATAATTCTTCATGTACAAGTTGTCGCACATGAAGGTTCTTTGCTTAAAAAACAAAATTGTGATCCTTTGTATTTTAAAATTTGCCTTTTTTTATAAACAGTTATTACCAAAAAAGGTCTAATTATTAAAATCCTACAATAATTTGCTTCGTCTTGCTTTACAAGTATCAACAATACAAAGACCTACCTGACTTCGCCTTCCAGATTGGCAGCGTCTTGCACCAAAGTACTATTTGTATCTACTCGTAGCATGGTTTCGTATTAATATGTATGTAGGTACAGATATCTAAGGAGATTAATTAAGTACTATCTTTAATGAATGTTCTATCCTTAATGGATTATAACAAGATAAGGTATGGTTCTTATTATTAGAAAATTTCTCTAAACTCTTGCGCAGAAAGGTATATACTCTTCATCCAGTGTATTCAATAAATCAACCCACTGGTCAGCAAAAGCAACTAACGGACGATACCACGAAACAAATTGTGGTACATATATACATGCGTCAGTAGCTTTAATGCCTTCCCTTGCTGGGTAGGAGAATAACGAAAGTATTTACAGACAGATAACAACAGCAGATAAGAACAGACAAATATCAAGTCAAACGATCTCATTTCGTTTCTACTCTGCGTTGTTTGCTATATACTGCCAATCAACACTCCACCAAAGTCCACAAGAACTTTTGATTCCAGCAACGAACGGTTCATCCAATTCACAGAAAAACGTTTCGATAAAAAATTTTGTTCAACCAAATCAATTCCTTCCTTCAACCTGGAATGCATTGGGTTAAATAAATACACAGAGTGCTTATCAGAACGGACAGAATTCCTGGAAAACCTTGGCTAACAGTGTGGACTGGAATGGACGATAGATAATGAACTGCAAACAAGTGATATACTGTGTATGTACATATTTCATTGCATATGATGCCTAGTTAGGTTAGAATCGCAGTTGGATTAGTCGAGGTACACCAGCAAGTGAATGCGAGTGAATCAAGTTTCTATCTCTTCAAATTGTCAGGCAAGAAGTATAAATAAATCATCCAACAGTATTATTCTCAGAAAATATAATAACTCCTAACATTCCCTGTTAATTAATCTGTGTATCCGTAATTCGTCCAAGCGCATTTAAAATTGAAACTAATTGATTCAAGTTGAAGCAAGTAAACAAGGATGGTGGACTCAACCCGGAAATATCTTCACGAAAGGGGTCATGATGTGTTCGAAGTCGTTGAGGATGTTAAACAATTTTGCTCCCCGATTGAAAAACGGTACATTAGCTGTAGATTAGAGTAAAGTTTAATAAAACCTTTAACTTAGTTTAATAAAATTATGCAAATTTGTCACACATAAATTTACCATTTATAAATTTACACTTAACCATTCTATGAAAATTGCATTCAGTCAAAATTTCAATTTCAGGATCTTATCCCCAGAACAACTCCTATCTATTCAGAAATTCAGTCGAGATTGCCAACAGTACCTGGAGAATGGAGCCGCCATCACCAGAACAATTCCCCCTTTGAAACCATGGGCGTTGATCCAGTTGGAGGACACCATGCGGAAAATGCGGAGCGAATTGAGAATTATTGATGCGGTGGTTTTGGCAGCGGTAGGCGATTCCTCGTCCACGATTTCTCTACTAGGCGGTGCTGCCGGGAAACCTGTGGCGACCCTAGTGGTCGCTGGGGCGTTGAAAGGAGCCATTATTGGAACCCCGTTGTGTGGAATTGATGTCGGAATTGTAGCTGGGATAGGGGCAATTGTTGTAATTCTAACGAGCTTGGCGTCCCATTCTGACAAATTGGAATCCAACGAGGTGAAAATCCTGCTTCAAAACTTGGCAAATTTAGTAGAAAATGTCAAACGGATGAATGGGTTGATGAGGGAAGCGTATGGGATGAGCAGCGACAGGACTAATAAAGGGGAGGAGTGGAGTAAAACCAACAAAATTTCCGAGGTTGATTATTTGATTGATTGATAATGGGTTGATCCACTTTTATAAAGGTCGATGTAATAATTGGCTAAATTTACAGGTGTTTACAGCGTATTAATTCATTTATTAATTTATTAAGTCATTTATTAATTTATTCTAATCATAATAACCTTAATTTAATTAATTAACTAATTAATTCATTCATTCATTCTTTCATTCATTCATTCATTCATTCATTCATTCATCCATTTATTAATTTATTAATTCATTCATTGATAAGAACCATAATAAATTTATTTATATACTCCTCCATATTTATGATTATTTATCTGATAGAAATTTCGACTCAGTTTTATAAACTGATATCTATTTAAACTTAAATAAAAGCTGACTTGACTTCAACCTTAACATAACATACGTATCACGCCATTCCCTGCCTAGCCACTTCCATACAGCTTCAAAATCTTGGCTGACATTACGTTAGCATATGGAGTCGTTTCCAACACCACCATAACTCTAATACATGTACAGATATTTCAATTGGCGTGCGTTAACTACACTGTTAAAACTCCCCTCGGTATATATGGGCGGACGTACTCAAAATTAAATACATCCGTAGTACTTTTGGCATTGCGAGAGGTCCCCACTTATGAAGGGTACATAATGCGTACTGAAATGTTGTATTGATATTCCCACTCACAATCAAGCTGGTAACGCATTTGCTTTCCTAGTCATGAATTTCAGTACGTTAATGTACTGCGTTCGGGACAGAAAAGAGAGGTCGCGCTGTAACCTTTGTGGTAATCGTAAATATTTATACATATTCTATAAAAGTGTGACAGCCAAGTTTGTAGCAGACGAAATAACTAACAAACATATATTGAAGAAATCGAAGAAAGGTCATCCTACCCGGAAACATATTATTTGTTATCGCAATGGAACAATCGGAATTGTTTTGAATCATTGTTGTCATTCTTCATTCCCATGTTAGCATAGAATGCCCTGCGTAAGCATCACGTACATTATATTTTGAGAAGTAAATACGTGAATGTACATAATAATTTATAGTATAATTTTTACTACTTTTATTTGTACAGAATGCGAACTTACTTCGCACTACTTTTGTGTTCAGTTTTTGCTACCTATCAAGTGGGATGCAGTCGGATAGAACTTGTTGAAAAAAAATTGCCGCATCTCAGGGAAGGTTTTCATTAGTTGAGATGTAAGCGAGATCCACTTTTGGTTTAAACATTATTTATATTTTTATGAACAACTATGTAATAACCTCACAACTTTCAGTATGGGGACGAGAAGTTCTACATCTGTAGATGTAGAACTTTGTAGGTTAATAAGGTTTTTAATGCAATTTGGACAGCTAGAACCCGAGCAAAACTACAGATTGGGCACCAATGGGAGAATGTGAGACCCGCTGGAGTTAGTGGGAGTATAAGTGCATATTCAAATTTCAATATATGATTTTTTTTTAATTTCCTATGTGCATTTAGAAGTGGGTGCCAGTGGGAATCTTTCCAACTGGAATTAGTGGGAATTGTTGAGTGAATAGGGTAAGGCTAGGAATTTAACCACCCAACCTCAGCTTACTCACAGTGGCCGAGTGGATAGGAGGGGTGCTATGAAGCGAGGAGACTCTGGTTGTTATCGGTAAATTTCCATACCTTACATTTCCATCCCGGGTTCGAGTCCCGCTTGCTATTTTTTGCAAGAATGCAAATTCAAGTAGGATCAGACTAATCAAAGTCCAATGGGAGTGGGTAGTCTGAAATCTCAATCACTTTCCCATTAGCCCTCCCATCTGCCTTGCATATTGGCGCTAGTGGGCCAGTTTTACTCGGGAAGTCAAGCACATAAATTACAGCTAGGTGGGTTTGAAATGCAACCGATGGTGCAACTGGATCCGATCTGCATTGACTTACAACGACTAGGAGGCAATACGCAAAAAAACTTACATGTATCAGAGTCACCTATCAGAGTCAGTAAAACGACGCGAAACCAACTTTTCTGTCTTGCTTTTGGTTAACTCCAACATTAACTACTACCTTCTCACAGGTATCATGCCTTCCAAACCGCACCCTATGTACTTTGTGGGGTGGCCGAACTACTCATATTTAGAGATAGCCCGACCAGCGGCGGTAGCGCATTGAAGGCTAATTGTCGACCAAACCGCGCCCTAGCTCATTTACATATACATAAGTAAAATTGGTAACTCCTCAAAGTTAAAAGTCAAAAGTCAAAAGTTCCTCAAAGCTCGGCATTTAGTACGGAATATCATTTTTCGTTCCTTTTAAGCAATTGGCACACATACATATGAAGTACTAAACGTGATCGGACTTTATAAAATAAGTCAAGAACACAAAAATGACCTTAAATGCGATGATTGTGAATATCCTTAATTTGCTCAATGTGTTCCCCATGAACCTGGGCAACAGTCCGACAACGCTTTTTCCACGCCAAAAATACGCATTGACACATTTCAGGGATGATTTTCCCACGCTCCCTTTGCAATAGTTTCCAGACCCCATAATTTTTTGCTTGGAGCTCTGTTCGACATTTTTTTTCGAATTGACTAAATCCGAAAAAGTCCAAGTGAGATATATCGGGTGACTTGACCAGGATCAGGGTATTTTTGGTGATTTTTGTGGATCGCCTGGCCTTAGGGTCTTCTGTGTATCACTGACTGAAGAGGGCAGTATGAGTGGACGTCTTGAAATGGAGATCACCAAATTTGCCATAGTCTGTGGGAAAGAGTTTTTCAATTCTTATCCCAGAAGTTGTTTTATATTATCACATGGATAGCTAGCAGAAGTTTTATTTGTGTTTGGGAAGACTTTAAATTAAACGACGACCTCACTGCCTGTAATTGTGCCCACCACCATAATCTTGTAAGAAAACTTTCTCTCTCAGGACAGACATATTTCTCAGTCTCCTCCTGACCCTTGGTTTAGCAGATTTTCCTAACCCTTTCGCAGACTTGGACATAAGACCAGCCTCATCCATTGTGACAACATATTCAGATCTTGCATCTACCAAGTGGTCCTCATACTGGCGCCTACGGTTGGGCGTCAGATTTGCCTTTTGCGTGTCTTTCAGCACGTGAACGGACTACTTCCGGTGGATTTTTTGTCCAATTTTGTTTATATTATTCGGTTTACATGTTATTTTGACAAGTTGACCTGTTTTATGATGCTTTGTTGGCGAAGTGAATTTTCTTGTGCGTCAAACCATTTATTATTTAGGTTACCGTTTTTGAGGCTTTTTGAAAAGACTGATTTTTTGGAGGTATATGGAGTCCAGAATTTGTATTTTTTTATTTAATTATTAGGTAATGTATCATGTTATGAATTGAGCCCAAAGATAACTTCATATTACTGCTCTGAAGACATTTTTAGCTATCATCAACCGAGAAAAACTCTTGGAAACTATTAAAACGGATCTCTCCACTTCTGGATTTATTTTGGGAGCCATTTGTGGACAGAATTTTTTGAAATTTTTAGCATTCCTGGCAGATAAGTAAAGTAACATGTGCTCAAAAATTCAAAATTTTCCGACCCGCGGTTATCGAGATATGTGTGTGGCAACATTATTTTATAATCTCCGATCACGTTTTGTAGAAGGTCAAAAAAAATAAGCATTACAAAAGCCAACATACAAATACTAGTGAACTCTTGGTGAGAAAAACCTCTAATTTATTTACATAACATATATTACAACATATCTGGTGGAATATATAATTTTGCTAAAACTCCAAGGCACTTTGTGCATATTTTATTTATCCTTGAGGGGATTCATGATTCGCTGTATTTTTCGTATTGTAAAAAAACTTACGAAGGTTACGAGACTTCCTAAGCATTGTAAGATTTTGCCCTTAAAAATTGCGTCAAGCATCTAATTCATTGATTAAATGTTGAATTAATAGGTTCAAATGATGCCGTCCTGTTGGGCCTAAAATACTTTAAAGATGTTCTGGCCAAACATAGGCAGGAGATTCGCCGTCGGCTCCAAATTCGCCGTCGGCTCTATAATTCCGCCTCATAGCGTAATATTTTTGTAGGATGTTAATGGCACAAACTTTGTCATAATAACCACATCTTGCCACTTCGATTTGGCAGGCGTAGTTCCTGTAGCAGTGTGCCAGCATTGGTCTACACATGCGGTCACTCCGACACCCGGCTATGCTTTCTGGAATTGTGTTGGAAGTAAAGCTACTCGGCGAGTACTGTCTGATCTGACCAGATCCTGTGTATGGTGAACTGTAAAAATTAGACAGATTTAGATCCGACTGAGTAAGGTGCCTTGGTTGCTGTGTGTGTGCAGACTTCAAACATTTTGGTAACAACAATTCACCACTAAGGAGCACGTACTTCGTTGCCCGTGGTCAGGGTTCGGAAAACCCCTGGGTTTTTCCGCGGTTTTTGGGATTTTTGTGGGTTTTTCCACGGTTTTGGAGAAATATGAAACAAACTTCTTCAAAATACATATTAGAGAGAAATAACTGCAATATTAAGATTCAGCATGAAATTTCAAGAATTTTTACATGTGACTTGAACTTTTACCTCAAAACAGGGTTTCGGAAATTCACACTTTGTTGGGTATTTCCCATCACAGTGGGAATAACTGTGAAAACTAGGAAAAACGGGGAAAAATTGTGAAAATGCTTGTTTATGGCATTTTACAGACCTAAATTCCCAACCTGCCGTTTATTGAGTAGATTTGGAGATATATTTGACTTCAAACTGCCTAGTACGAGGCTAAATTTCAAATTATAATTTGTTGAAACCAACTTTATTTTTCAAGATAGACTTCTAAAATAGTGCTAAAAATACATTTACAACATGATTTTACGAAATTTATACCAATTACACCGTTATTTCTAGTCGATTTTATGACTTTATTCGTTTCAACTCGCTTCAAATTACCCCAAATTGATTTTTACAGTTATCCACAACGAGGCCAGGTGGTAATTACCGGTAATAACCGTTAACTACCGGCGGTAATTACCACCCGGTAATTACCACCCGGAACCCTGCCTCAAAATTTTACTTTTAACATACAATCATATGGGAAAATAGGTTAAATGTGCTATTGATACTTAAATAGTCAAGTCACACATAAAAATGCTCAAAATTGCATGCTGAATCCGAAAACATAAATAATAGATAGTTGGTGCAGCCATGGACGCAAAACTTATAACTTAAACTTATGACGTATAACTTAACTTA